TTGGTGTATTAACTGTAGCTGTTGACGTTTGGGTTCCAGTAGTTACTGGAGAAGTTGGTGTATTAACTATAACAGTTGACGTTTGGGTTCCATTAGTTACTGGTAAAGTTGGTGTATTAACTGTAGCTGTTGACGTTTGGGTTCCACTATTTACTGATGGAGGTGGTGTATTAACTACAACTGTTGACGTTTGGGTTCCACTAGTTACTGGTAAAGTTGGTTTATTAACTGTAATTGTTGACGTTTGAGTTCCATCAGTTGCTCCAGTTAATGGTGGTGTTGTTACTGTACCTGTTGGCGTTTGAGTTCCACTAGTTACTGGTAAAGTGGGTGTATGAACTGTAACTGTTGGAGTTTGGATTCCACTAGTTACTGGTGAAGTTGGCATATTAACTGTAACTGTTGAAGTTTGGGTTCCACTAGTTACTGGTAAAGTTGGTGTATTAACTGTACCTGTTGACGTTTGGATTCCAGTAGTTACTGGTAAAGTCGGTGTATTAACTGTACCTGTTGACGTTTGGATTCCACTAGTTACTGGTAAAGTTGACGTATTAACTGTACCTGTTGACGTTTGGGTTCCACTAGTTACTGGTGAAGTTGGCGTATTAACTGTTACTGTTGAAGTTTGGGTTCCACTAGTTACTGGTAAAATTGGTGTATTAACTGTACCTGTTGACGTTTGGTTTCCAATAGCTACTGGTGAAGTTGGTGTATTAACTGTACCTTTTGACGTTTGGATTCCACTACTTACTGGTGAAGTTGGCGTATTAACTGTAACTGTTGACGTTTGGGTTCCACTAACTACTGTTGAAGGTGGTGTATTAACGGTAAATGTCGACGATTGGGTTCCACTAGTTACTGGTGAATTAGGTGTAATAACTGTAACTGTTGACCCTTGGGTTCCATTTGTTACTGGAAAAGTTGGTGTATTAACTGTAACTGTTGACGTTTGGGTTCCACTAGTTACTGGTGAAGTTGGTGTATTAACTGTAACTGTTGACGTTTGGGTTCCAGTAGTTACTGGAGAATTTGGTGTATTAACTGTAACTGTTGACATTTGGGTTCCAGTAGTTACTGGAGAATTTGGTGTATTAACTGTAACAGTTGACGTTTGGGTTCCATTAGTTACAGGTAAAGTTGGTTTATTAACTGTAACAGTTGACTTTTGGGTCGCACTAGTTACTGGTAAAGTTGGTGTATTAACTGTACCTGTACCTGTTGACGTTTGGGTTTCATTAGTTACTGGTAAAGTTGGTGTATTAACTATAACTGTTGACGATTGGGTTCCATTAGTTACTGGTAAAGTTGGTGTATTAACTGTAACTGTTGACATTTGGGTTCCACTATTTACTGATGGAGGTGGTGTATTAACTATAACTGTTGACGTTTGGGTTCCACTAGCTACTGGTAAAGTTGGTTTATTAACTGTAATTGTTGACGTTTGAGTTCCATTTGTTGCTCCAGTTAATGGTGGTGTTGTTACTGTACCTGTTGGCGTTTGAGTTCCATTAGTTACTGGTAAAGTGGGTGTATGAACTGTAACTGTTGACGTTTGGATTCCACTAGTTACTGGTGAAGTTGGCATATTAACTGTAACTGTTGAAGTTTGGGTTCCACTAGTTACTGGTAAAGTTGGTGTATTAACTGTACCTGTTGACGTTTGGATTCCAGTAGTTACTGGTGAAGTTGGCGTCTTAACGGTAACTGTTGACGTTTGGGTTCCACTAGCTACTGGTGAAGGTGATGTATTAACGATAACTGTTGACGTTTGGGTTCCACTAGTTACTGGTGAAGTTGGTGTATTAACTGTAACTGTTGACATTTGGGTTCCAGTAGTTACTGGAGAATTTGGTGTATTAACTGTAACAGTTGACGTTTGGGTTCCATTAGTTACAGGTAAAGTTGGTTTATTAACTGTAACAGTTGACTTTTGGGTCGCACTAGTTACTGGTAAAGTTGGTGTATTAACTGTAACTGTTGACGTTTGGGTTTCATTAGTTACTGGTAAAGATGGTGTATTAACTATAACTGTTGACGATTGGGTTGCACTAGTTACTGGTAAAGTTTGTGTATTAACTGTACCTATTGGCGTTTGGATTCCACTAGTTACTGGTGAATTTGGTGTATTAATTGCAAGAGTTGACGTTTGAGTTCCATTTGTTGCGCGAGTTGATGGTGGCGTTGTTACTGTACCTGTTGGCTTTTGAATTCCACTAGTTACTGGTAAAGTTGGTGTATTAACTGTACCTATTGCCGTTTGGACTCCACTAGTTACTGGCGAAGGTTGTGTATTAACTGTAACTGTCGACTCTTGGGTTCCACTAGTAACTGGTGAATTTAGTGTATTAACTGTAACTGTTGACGTTTGGGATCCAATAGTTACTGGTAAAGATGGTGTATTAACTGTAACTGTTGACGTTTGAGTTC